CAGCCATCAAGAAAACTAACTTCCCTTACCTCGGTTAAACGGCTCCGAGCTCCGGGAAGAGACAAAGAAGAAGAAGAAGAAGAAGAGAGCTTGAAACAAGCGGAGATGAGAGACCACTTCAGCTAGCTCCGAAACACCTACTCAGCACCTTCAACCCAAGAGATCACCATAAGGAAAGATTAAGGAAAAGGAAAGAATGGAGTCAAAGAGAGTGAAGAAGAGAGTGAATGAAAGTGAGGGGAGTAAAGAGAGAGGGAAGGGTTTCACAGGTACGATACTTTGTAGTAAATTTAATGAAAAAGTTTGAGTTATAAAAAATGAAGTGATATTGAGAAAATATGTTTCATCAATAACAAGAAAGGATCAATATTATTGAAAACTAATTAGGAGAAGAACAATAATAATTACTTTTAGTGTTATGTTTTACAATACATAAACATTGAGTTAATGAGGGGTTTTGAGTATATGCCTAAATATCTGTAATGTAAAAAAGAAATAATTTAGTTATTTTAAGAATTTGTTATTTATATTTTAAATATTTAGATTTAATTTTTTTATTATTTCAAGATTTATTTTCTCTTTTTAGAATAAAATACTATCAATATTTGAATTTTTTATATTATGATTTTGTTCTCTATATTTAGAGTTCATGTATAAAACTACATCAAGTTTTTCCTAAAAATATATAATACAACTAGATAAAAAAGACATCACAAATTTAGATATATGTTTAATTTTATATTAAAAATTAATTTTAGGCTAAATACTCTCTCTGTTTCTTTATATGTGTGTACACAATAACCTATAAAATTAATTACTCCACTATTTTCTATTAAAATTATATGCAATTTTCCTATTTTACCCACATCACTTTGAAACAATTCATTATATTTCTCTCCATAGTTAATAGTGTTGTTTCTTTCTCTCCGTAACTCGTTTTGTAACGTAGTGGTATTATTTACCTATCCCATAATTACATGATTTTCTTAAAATAGTGGTGCTATTTCTGTCTCTCCTCGTAGCACTTTGCTTTTGTGTTGATTGAACATTATTTTGATTTCTTTTTCTCTCTCCTAGGATCGAAGCACCAGTTTCTTTCTAAACGCAACATTCCTTTTTCCCAGGCCATTTTTTGTGTTCAAGTAGAAGCACTTCTTTCACTTCGTTCAATTAACACTTTAACAAAGTTAAACTTCTCTCTATAATTTTTAGTTTTAAAATTTTTACCACCAAAAGTTTTCGTTTGATGAATTACATTATGAATCATGTTCCCACAAAAAAAAAATCAAAATCACTTATAATTTTTCTTTAATTCAATTTTATAAAATTGATTTATAAGATGAGAGTTATTCTTCGTTTATATACTATTAATTGTCTTATCTTAATATGAGACTTATTTTTTTTTCAATATACTTTCTCATGTCTAGCACTATTAAATTTAATACCTGAATAAATGATAAGTGACTTTTTTTTTTAATAATTTATGATAGACGAGACTTAAATTTTTCTCAATATATTCTCTCACGCCCAACATTATTGAGTTTAGTGCGTGTATGTGACTCATCTAGAGTGAATCTAAATAATTCTAATATCATTTTAGAATGTGAAACTTTTATGATAATGAATGATTATTAAATATATAGTCAGATATAAAGTAAAATCTTAAAAAAAATTGTAATTTATAAAAAGATAATTATAAAGATAAAATTGTCTAAAAATGCAATCAATAAGATGATCCCTTTTATTAATAATATAGATAACATATACTTGTTATGGAATGAATTCAAATAAAAAGACTAAATTTTATACGTAAATAAAAAATAAATACACCCACATTTCTTTGTTTTACCGGTGTTTTAGTTTCCTGATAATACCATTCGATTTTTGCTAGGTGTATAAATGCCAATAACCAATCTACAACCATTGTTATTTTCAGCCCTTGCTTGAAGAAGAGAAACACAATATTTGTCACACATTCATAGATATAATATAACTAAACATTATGTGCCTCTTGATTTACAATTAAATAATAACATGCGTGTATTGTTGGTGTTCCTTCGCACATAAATATGTTAGAACCATCGATGGAAATTGGAAGTGTAAATAGAAATTGCACTGATGATGAGTTTAGAATTATCAGCTATGAAAGAAGAATGCATGTGGAAGCAAATCCAATTGGGAATAAGAGTGGTGACACAGAGAGAAGGTAAGAGGATTAATTAAGACCAAGACAAATAAAGTTTGGAAATATTTTATTAAAATTGGAGTGAAAAATAGCAAAGAAAAAGTTAAATGTAATGCGGCAAGAATTTGTAATCGATGGGATTAAAATAGGGATATCAACAATTTGATCCTTGGAATGGGCAAGTTTAGCGAGTATTGGAATGATCGTGGTCTCATTTTTCCAATATGATTCTTCACCCACAAATGAAACTTGGAAAGCAATTCGGTTTTATTATTCAAAATTATTTTTACTTGTGATGAAAAACTAATAATATAAATGGCAAGATGCACACGTTTTTTTTTTTTTTTTTTTATAAAGAATATGTGAGTGTAAAGTTAAATTCATCGGGAAATTCTAACAACTTGAATTATTAAAATCAATTTAATAATATAGGTTGATATAGATGCATAAAGACTTATATTTGATCTTTATTATTGTTATTATAATTTTTTTATTAATAAAAAAAATTGAGAGTACAAGGTCAAATTCATTATGTTTATCAAGTTTTCCCTTCAATTAAACAAAATTTTAATTCAAAGAAAAATTAATGATCCTTTTCATATAATGATAAGTTAGTCATTTTTAAATAATATTTAATTAGTCCTTTTTATTGGTCAATTTATTTTATTCTTTTTATAAATATATGTATATGTGAGTTTGTTGATGTCACTTTTAAGTTTGAGTTGAATCTTTATTTGATTGTCCAACTCACTACTTAAACTAAAATATTTTTCAAAATTAGACGTTTTAAGCAATCCAAAAGATCACAAAAAAAAAATGTTTTAAATCTTTGTAAATTGACATGTGAGGTGTTAAGTCAAATAACAACATTTATTAGTAAATATGCAATTAATATCAATGTTTTAACAAATATTGTTCTTGTCTTCATCTTGTCAATATTTAAGCACAAATTTTAACTCAAAATTAGTTAAAAGGATGACAAAATTGATAATTAATATTATTTCTTAATATTTTATCACCATGATACTACTAAATTATCATATATCATTCATTATTAAAAGAGTTGTTAAAATTGGTTAAATGTGAGAAAACTATAAGAGTAATATTATTGTTAAGTAATAAAATTATTGAATATACCAACAGATCTTGTTTTACTGTTATGAATTTGTTATGATTCAAAAAGACAAAATAATATTTTATGTGGTTGAAAAAAGTAAAATATATAAAGAAATTGTGAGCAAGTACTAAAAAGAAAACAAAAATATTAAAATATGAAGAAAAAAAATCAAGAAAAAAAAGGGTTTGTAGGATTGGAATTTACTCAATGATGATTAATGAATCAACTTCTACTGCATACATGTTGTGATTGATTTCAAGGTAATAATCTTTATTTTCTTTTAACACACGTGTATTTAATTGAATTAACTTTATTTTTGTGATAGCTATATCTAGTTAAATTTATTATACTCTTAATTAATTGATTATTTTTTGAATAATTAAACATAAGCATACTTTCTTATGATTTTAATGATTAGATTCACCATTTAGTTTAAGATTATGAAAAATTCGTATAATTAAGCTTAGCAACAAAATAATTAAAAGGAGGAAAACAAACTTCACATGTAAAAACAAAAATTCCAATTCTATTAAAAATAACAAAGGCTACACCCAATCCTAGAATAAAAAAGGTGAGTACTAAATCATATCCATGAAAAAAGAAAAATAAATAAGAAAGAATATTCAAATCTAGTGTCGAAGAAGAAAAATGATCTTCAATAATTCTCCATTAAGAATCGTGGCCCTCTAGAGAGTTTACTCCTCCTAAACATAAGCTACGGGTTGTATTTAAATTACTAGGCTAAAAAAAGGTTCTGCAGCACTTCAAAATTTTCTTTAAAATAACATTTATCTCTTTTTATATATAATTTACATAATTTCTTAAAATTGATAATAAAAAATTAATCTTTATTTAATAAAATATAACTTTTATTAATTAAATATTATTTTAAGAGGATGAAAATAGAATTTAAGAGTGTAAATCCTAAATTTTAAACTTTAAATTCTTTAAATTTTGAAGTAGATTTTATACAATATTAAAATAATATTTAATTAGTAAAAATTATATTTTATAAATACAAATTAATCTTTGGTGTCAGTTTTAGAGTATGAATAAAAAATTTAATATTTATTATTTTATTTAAATAATGAGTATTTTGGTGTCAGTTTTAGATTTTGTTTATAAGTAATTTCATGTATCACATCATGTTATATCAATTTTTTTTTATTTTATGAGTTGCTTAAATTTTAGTAGAGTTATTTATAGAAATTTCAGTACTAAAATTTAAACAACTCATAAAATAAAAAAAAATTGATGTGATATGATATGACAGAGAGAGTTGCTTATAAGTTACTCCCACCACCACCACCAGATACGCTCTTATAAGCTAATCTTATTCTAAATGGATTAGAGTTTAGATAAGGACAAATCGTCCATGCTGTCTCATACTCATACAGATGACGTGCATGAATCAAGGATAATGATACACAAACCAATGTGGCTATATCATCACAACATTTCCTTTTATTATATCACTAATTATTTTCCATTTGCTCTGCAAAATTTTATTTAATATCATTTAATTTGTTGATTGAAAATTTGTTAAATAAATTTTGATATCTTAAAGAATTCATAGAGGATTTTTTTATTATTATTTACAAACATAATTTAATTAAAAATTAATTTGGGATCGTGACACATAAACTTTACTTACTAAACATTATTTTTCAATTATTTTGAAAGAGAAAACAATTTATTATGAATTAAAGATAGAATAGGTAGCATTCAATAATTGCAACGTAGTTCCGCCGCTTGAAAGAGACCTTGTACCTTGGGAGATTGAGGTTGCATGTAATAGCTGTTTCATCAGACAGTGAACATGTTTGCAACTACCAAGTCCTCTACATTATCACCTTTGTTCTCTTTCAGTAAATCCTCGTTCCCTTCCAAACCCAGATTCTGGAATTTGGTTCCAATGAAACAACAATCTTTCCCTTTGGCCTTAGGCTCAGCCAATTCACACAGAACCCTTCACGTGTCATGTACCTCATCATCAGAACACGCTTCCCAGAGATCATCTATTCAGGTTCCATTTTATTCGTTAATTTTATTTTATACCATCATGGGACTGAACCCCAAGTTCTGTAATGTTTGTAGTGCTTGATGTTATAGTATCATATTCCTCCCCCGAGGGCTTGATTTATTGCTTCTTCAAGTATTATTTGTAGCATTTTATTTTTAAAAAGAAAAAAAATTGATTCTTGATTGTATCGCCGGTGGATATCCATGATGCTTATAGTGATAATAAGGCATTGTTTGTTTATTGTTTTCAAAAACACTTTTCTGTTTTCTAAAATTTGTTTGTCCAATAGAACATTTGAAAGTGTTTGTCTCTGAGCATTGATTTTGTTTAAGACTCTGATCGGATACAAGCTTAGAATTGCTTTTGAAAAAGCTTTTGAGAGATTTTAAGAGCCTTGTTTCTTTATTTTCATTAGAGAAGTTCTCAAAAACACTTTAAACTTCAATAAAAACACTTGATTGTTGAGTAGTGTGAAATTGCTTTAGAAAACAGATTTTAAAATAAAAAGGTGAGAAGAGGATAAAACATGCGCTAAATCTTGAGATCTGATTGTTTGTACCTAATGTTTTGGTCTGAATTCTCAATTTCTCATGAGCCAACATGATTTCTCTTCATGCAGGGAGGTGAAGCTTTTTTCAGGGGTGTGTTGGAAAGTATGCAAACCGTTTACTTGAACAGGAATCCTACTGCAAAGGCCATATTGGACCTTGTTCACTCTGTTGATAACAACTCATTATGCTATGATCATCTTGCATTCAGGACATTTGGGGTACTTCTCTTGGCTTTACTGCCTTTCACTTGTTCACTTTTCTTGGTGACTCAATTATACCTGATTAGCTCATTCATTTGTATTGTTGCGCCTAATTAGGTGAATGGTCATGGAATTGATTCCATGGCTAGGTTGTTTCTGGATTATGGCTATACACAACGCGAGGAGTTGAGATTTCCAGCAAAAAAGTTGAGGGCACTATGGTTTTCTCCACCTGAAGATTCACTTACTAGTAATGGCAGTGGCATTAACGGGCCTTTGCCCAGAATATTTATATCAGAACTACTGGTAGATCAAATGAGTCCAAAAACCCAGGTTTGTTCATGAATCATGAGAACAATATTCAATTGATGTCATTTTACATGTATGCTCTACAAATTACAATGGTTATATGGAGGCTGGTTTCCTCCCTGTATTTTGCAATTGCAACTACTTTCAAATGTTAGCAACTGTACCTAAAAAAAAAGCTTCAAATGTTACCAAAGTAAAAATATGAGAAACACAATCTTTTATCATGATTGTTTCAGTGCTTGTTTCTATGTAGGAGTGGAAATAGGTAAGAATGGTGATCCAAGGCCTAGTGCCTAACCCATATCAGGTTAGTTAAGTTAGGCCTATATACTAAATAAGTTGGGACAAGTCCTTAATAAAAGCCTATTTAATTAAGGTTAGGTTAAACATTTGGTCCATATACTTGACACTATTTCTTGGTCTTTATGAAGCCATGAAACTTAGTATGACACGAGTACGATAGAGATACAGAGATCCAACACTTTTTTTAAGATTTAGGATACAATACGTTTTGGATATGATAGTAAAATTTTGTAGAAGGATTTATTTAGATGTAAAATATTGGTAAAGAAAGAGACATTAATTCTTTCTCATTAATTCATAACTATGATGATTACAATTTAAAAAAAAAAAAAGATATTTTTAATCATAACAAAAAATACAGTTTCTGCCCATATCATGTTAACTATATTAATAAAAGCATCTTTGGTAGAACTTAAAGCTAATATTGGTTCTATAAAAAAAAAAGCCTTTATCTCAAAAACATTATCACTAAATTACTGTCTAATGCTCTCTTCTCCCTTGTTACCATCATCTAGTAAAGAACATAGTTTCAAAGTTTGGTTCATCAAGAGAGAACTCTGCCAATTTAATAAGTCTAACACCATATCATCAAGTGGATGATGTATACTTCTACTAATGTCTTATAACCTAGTCTCTCCATTTTTATACCCTTCATCTTTCATAGACAAAAGTTAAAGGTTGAAATGAACATAAATGGATAAACCGAATCTTTTACCCTTTTGGATCCATTTTGTTTTTCTTCAAAGAATGAATAAAGAAGTATGTACTCCAATTCCTTTTACGACATGACAAAAAAATGACTGTACAAAATAAAAGGTTTTTCAGATATGTATCTAGAAGTATCTAATAAGTATACAAGTATCTGAGAAAAAAAGGTTAAAAATTAAATAAAAAAGATTGGATACGTATCCGAGGAGTATTAGTATTCAACACAGGTACGATAGACTTTTTCATTTATGAAGTATCCAGGCTTCATAGCTTGGTTTAGTCCCTACATTAAAATGTATTTACAAATTACTCCTTTTTAAAACCCTATTAATTTAGGTTACGTTATTATCTATTGTGTTGTTAGTAGTTGTATTTAGTATGATAAGTTGCTAACAATAACTTGAGAAGCAAAGAATGGTTTCATTTCTTAGGATTTTATACATGTTACTTCTCTAGATATTAAGATTGAGATGCAGTATATGATATCTTATTCCTGAAATCCTGATCTATAGTGATATACATAATTACATGACACCAACGGTTTATACTTACATTTCTGCTGCATTGTGGTTCCAACTCTCCAGAACTCAACTGTACTAAAAATAAGTATGGAAATTTTGTGCAGGAAATTATGAGAAAATACACTGAATCATCTGGGGATGGAAACAAGTATGCAGCACTTGCAAGTTCCCTTGGACATTTAACATGGGAAAAGCCCTTATATTCTGAGTTTCAACAATTAGCAAGGTATTGTTATCTTTATAGGAGGAATATTTTTTTGTGGAAAGTCTCTACTCTCTTCTAGAGTCTGGCTTAGTTATGGTTTGTTGGTACTTGATACACAGTGAAAGTGAGTATGCTGCCTGGACCCTAGTCAACGGGTATGCACTGAACCATGTTACTATATCCACTCATCGGCTGAAAACTCATTTGAAGGATATAAAGAAATTAAATCAGTTTATTGAGGACAGTGGATTCAGATTGAATTCTGAAGGAGGAGTTCTGAAAGGTTTGTACCCTTGTTTATTATTATTCAATTTTAAGGTTTTCTAGATTTTTTTTAACCAAAATAAAAGCATTTAATGTTCAATGGTAAGACAATTTCTTACTGCTTTACACAATTGCTATCTCAAGTGAAAAAGTGAGGATTGAAGAGCAAATAATTCCCTCTTATTCATTAATGGCAAATATGACATTTTTCCTTCGATTCCTGCATGTGTTCACCTTTCAAAAGTTTGACCTTCATCAAACCTTATCTTCTTTCCCCCACACCTTCCATGGGGGAAATAAAAGTCATGTTAAGCCCTTTTCACTTGAAAATTCTAAGTACTGAAAAAGAAAGGAAAGGTATAAAGATGTGTGTTAATTTGTTTGCCTAGCTGTTTTAGAATTGGAAAAAAATCATATCATCAGTATGTGCAGCATGCTCTCAATCATGACATGAATACAGAAATTATAACCTAGATTAACTAAGAACATGCAGATATAATCATCTTCATTCTTTGAGTTGAAGATGATCATTGCAAGTTGTATTTCATTCTGATCAAAGGATCATGTGAATGATTTTAATATTTCCTATGCTTGTAGTGAGCCCTGATGGTCTTCTCCAGCAAAGCTCAACTGTAGCAGATTCAATTTCTTTCCAATTTTCTGATGGTATAACTGAATTAGTCCCATGCTCATACATTGAATTTGCCGAGCGTCTGGTGCTACCGCAGTATAAAAATTTACCTGACACAGAGGTAAGCAGCATTATTTCTTCCGAGTATCTGGTTTCAACTTTTTATTATGACTCTTATCTTTGGGTACTGATGGATAAGACTGATTTTGTCACCAGTCATTTTGATTACAGATGGAACTGTGGATTCGAAGTTTATAAGAGTTTTGGAGAACTTTTCTATTAAAAATAGAGTTTTGAAAAGCTTTACTGAGGAAAAAAAAAACATTTTTAATTTATATTCAGAGACCTTGAATTGGAAGACATTTTTCTGCAGGATTTGCTAATCCTTGTTTTAACTAATGGAACAGGTTAAAGAGTTCCATAGAAGGGATGGTTTTGAAGTAGCTAGTGCTGACAAGATATTTGAAAGCACATCCAAGGAGCAGTTGAGCAGAGTAGGCTCATGAGTCATAAGAGGCTCATGTCACACCATACCATGAATGAGCAGAGTTCATTCCCCTTGGGGAAACATATGACATGTTTTACCCAGTTATATTATGGAAGTTTGGATTTCATACATTTTGGGTCATGTGGATGTTGCATAAATAACTTGGGTTGATTAATTTAAAAAAAGAAATTGATTAACTCACATACTCAAGCATAGAATAAGTGCGTGTTTGAATTAAATTTTGTAACGTGATTTTTCAAATGAAACAGAAGCAACTCCTAGTAACTTCACAGGGCGAGGAAACAAACACGCATTAAGATGTCTCTTTCCACAATTTCTAATTTTCTTCTCCTACTATCTAACAGGAGGAGTGTTTAAAATCGAACCAATTCAAATAAAAAATTATAAATTAGTGGTTCAAGTTGATTTATAACATTCATAAGAAAAAATATGAATTATTTATAACGTTATAAAAAAAATGACAAATTATATATATAAAAGTTAATAGTCTCTCGCTACATGTTTTGTCGGATAAACATTTATTTGTGTAAGTATTTGTTAAACGAGTACTCATATTTTTTCAATATCTATAGGTGTTTTTAGATATTTGTAGATATTTATTTTAAAAAGAATAAATAATTTTAAAAAAATATTTTAATAATAATTTCTATTTATTTTATTATTTCTATGAAAATAATATTTTAAAAGTTAAATTTTAAGTTATTTAAATATTATACATAATTTTATTAATCAAAATTTTTTAATTTAAAATTAAATTTAATTGTTAAAATGTTTTGTTTTCATAAGTTTAAATAAATTTAATATGTAACTGAATATTAGAGGGTTGAATAATATGACACCTGTACCCATCTTATTAATATGAGGGTATAAAAATTACTTGTACTTGTTATTTTTTGGATACTTATTTATAATATTTATTTTTTTACCTATAATGGATTTTATCTTTATATTTTTGTGGGTACGAATTTTTTTCAACATATGTGAGAAAAAATATTTAATATGATAATTAAAATTTTTTAAATTTTTTTTACTAAAATAATAAAATAAAAATTGGTATTAAATATATTAAGTGATAAAAAATATTCTAGTATTAATATACTTTTAGTTTTATTTTTTTACATACAATCTTAAACAAATAACATAATATTATATTTTTAGTTAATTTTTAAATAATAAATTTAAGAAACTACAAAAAAATGAATTAACCCAAACTACAAAAAAATTGGTTTAACCTTCACTCAAATTAAATCACTCTTAACTTTTTTATTTGATTTGGATGATTTAAAAAAAAAAAAATTAAACCAAAGCAAACCACACTAAACTGTACCGCAAACTGCGACAAGGGCTAAACCATGTGTTAAATTTAAAACCTTTTCGTTTGGTGCTATTGAAAAACATGTTGGGACGTAGTAATTTTTTGGTTCTCATTGTGAATCCAAACACTAAAAATTTGCATTTGGCACTTCTATATCATCAATTCATCATGATTGAAATACACCGCCGATACTTGGTGCCTAAATATTTAATGTTCCTAATCACTTTAGCTTGTGTTCAATTTTTAGAGCTAATATCTTAATTTAGAGAAACTTATGTTAGTTCTTATAGCAGTGCTGTTTCTTGTTTGGTACTTGTATGTGTAATCAAAACCCAATTATAGTGCTCATGTCATGCACACTTATCATTGAAGCGTATATCCCTTATTAAAAAAATAAACTGTATACTAAATGCAGTCAGAGCTCAAACCTCTTAAACCGTATCAACTGAATTGGAAACACAACACGTCATCGAGTTATTTCCGTGAACCTTCAATTATTAAAGGAAAATGTGACAACACTAATTAAAGAATGGGAAGCACAAATTTCATAGAATTGTGCAACATAATTAATACACTTCCACCATAACTATAAATAGAAGCATTTTGTTGTCAGCTCTTTAACTATTATTTAGAACATTTCTGTGTGACCCCACATAAAAATATATTATCCTACACTTGAACCCCACGCACTATGATCTTTAAAGACAATAATGATAAGAATGAACAACATCGATGATCAAACTATCAATATTGAAATTTGAATTTTTAACTGCTAGAAGCTGCTATAAAGTATAACCTGCTGCCCACAAGTTATATAAAATAAGGAACCGGAGCAAATGAGAACAAATAACTAGTATAAATTAATGCAATAAAGCTTCTTTCTCATCTTTTTATAAACAAAAGCTTGTGATTAAGGAGCTGCACAGCAGGGATTGATATCACAAGCTAAGCCTAAGGCTATTTTGGAAAAAGGTTGGGGATGTGCTTTTGGAAATTCCAATGCACATTCCCAAATTTCAAGGCACGAAATGAAGAAAAAGGGAAAAATTAAAATTTGTTGTTTTGGAAGTAAAAGTACTTTTGAACTCTCCTAACTGAAATCCAAACATACACTAATAAATCAGGAGATAACATAACACTTCCTGTGGCAAATGTGAAAAACAATAAAATAAGGATGAGTATTTGATAGTGTTCAATATTTCCAAACAACCTGAAGAAAATATTGGTTGACAATTTGACTTGTTCACCTGCCCTCACCCTCACATTCTTTCAAGCTAAAGGGGGTCAACACCCATAACATAAAATCATAAAGCAAAATGCTTCTTTTGCTCTCAAGTTCTCCATGAACAAATGCTTTGAAAGAAGGTACATCTACAAGGAGAAACTAAGAAGTGGCATAAAAAAAGGGTGAAAGAGAAAAATAAAATTTTCACCAGCTCTATGCTTTGCCATTAGGTTTCGGTGATGGTTGGGGAAACTGATGATATGGAGATGCATAAGTACCATTTGGTATTGAGAGGCTCCTTTGCTGCTGTCCATTGCGGGTGAGCAATGCGCCTTGTGTTCGCCCATTTCTTGTGTTTGGGCTCGCGCCAAAGCGATCAGCTTGCATTGCCTGGAAATAATATGAAGAGCTTGCCATGTCCTTAAGGTTTGGCAAAGGCTTCAAAGCTTCAACAACTTCACTCATTAGGGGTCTGGCTTTTGGATCTCTACTAAGGCAGTGAGCAGCCAGTTGAGCAGCTTTCTGAGCTCCTTTTATGGAAAAGTGACCTTCAAGACGAGGGTCTATCAACCTGTAGAACCTTCTCCTCTCTCCAAGATGTGGTCGAGCCCATTCCACAAGGTTATGCTCACCATTGGGTCGGTGTTTGTCCATGGATCTTCTGCCGGTCAACATCTCAAGTAGTACCACTCCAAAACTGTACACATCACTTTTTGATGTAAGATGACCTGCCACATGAGTAAATCTGATTAGAATATAAGCAATTAGATGTTACGCGATTACATTTAAAAGAATTTGGAACAAACATAACTGGAAATTATCCACCAAATATAATACAAATTATGAGAATGCAACAACTGACATTATCAAACTTGTCAATACAATTGATCATCACAGTCAGGGAAATTATAGACAGCTCAAGTAAATTATGATCTTAATCAAAAATCTGTATTGAGTTGAAAACAATTAACATTAGAGATAAAGAATTTTATATGTACCACTACCAAACATTAAAACAGTCCCACAAGCAATTATGTTCCAAACTTTCTGTACAGAATTTTTTTGAAGGCAGTGAGCATCAACAGCAAAACTAATGACTTCAGAGATGAAAAATGCCCAACAAGATCAAGTCTTTACCAACAAAGCATAAGCATGTGTAACTTTACAGATAAATAACAAGACTTGCAGAAGTGGACATGCTATATCAAACTAAATATACCCGTCATGACATATTCTGGTGCTGCATAACCATAGGTTCCCATCACTCGAGTAGACACATGGGTTTTATCACCTTCTGGACCATCTTTGGCAAGACCAAAGTCTGAGAGCTTGGCATTGTAGTCCTGAATTGGTATAAAATATTAGACCAACCAAAAGGGAGAAATATGTAATCTTATTGTAGTTAATGGCACTTACTGCATCTAATAATATATTCGAAGTTTTAAAATCCCTATATATTACTGGTCTTTCAGCTTCTTCATGAAGAAAAGCAAGACCCTTAGCAGCTCCTAGTGCAATTTTCATTCTAATGGACCATGGAAGAGGCAGGGATCCTACATATGACACAATTTCAACATGAGAACATAATAAAAATGACATAATTCAAACATAAAACATACAGCAATAGTTGAGTTCCAGTTCTACCAATGATAGAGAAAACTTCTAAATCCTTCATAACACAAGTGAGATACTCAAAGAAACAAATTAATGGAAACATCATTATAATGGTATCGATTAGTTTTATTCATTATTCTTAAATAGGCAGATCACTATGGTATTATAGCACTATATCATATCACCCCTCTTCACTCATGTTGAGAAAATATTTTTCCATGCCAAACAGCCCAATAAATTTCATCTGGCTTCTGTGGAGAAGGAACCTTGCTTCACAAGAGAAATCCAGCAGGGTTCTTCATTTATGTTATCAAAATTTCAAGGTGCAATAGTATCCCAACTATTATTCTTGAAAAAAAAATGTGGAAAATTATCAGATAAAAAATAATAACTTACTCCTAAATAAGTGATTTTCCAGGCTACCCCGAGGCATGAACTCATACACTAGCAACCTTTGATCATCTTCAATGCAGTAACCTACAAGTTTTACAAGGTTTTGATGAACTAGATCACCAAGAAAATTTACTTCAGCCTGTCACATGATCCAAACAAGAATGATCATTAAAAATATAGAACTCTAGATAATATCAGAAGAAAAGGACTTTTGAAAATATACAAACCAGCCATTCTTTATGACCCTGGAGCCCGTCATGGTTGAGGGTTTTAACAGCAACAGTAAGGCCCGTGCCTGGTTTCACCGGGGCAGTTCCATTTTCTTCAATCCACCCCTTGAAAACACAGCCAAACCCACCTTCACCAAGAAAACTCTCAGGCCGAAAATTTCTTGTTGCTAACTTTAGATCATTGAAAGAGAACTTTCGCAGCCTGGAAGCAATTTTAAGCTCTTCTTCAAGTTTGGAAGTGGATGAATTGCTTTCTGTATTACTAGTGGTTGTAGAAGAGACTGCTGGAACTGTTGGTTGGTCTCTACTTGTATCATTAGTTGATTTACTCTCAGCTAACAGGAAGCCAACAACAAGAGTGGATTTTTTTATAAAAAGAAAAATATTAGGACAAGCAGTAAAATAGCATCAAGCTGCGTAGGTTTTAGAATAGATAAGGAAATAATCACCACCTCAAGTAATTTACCCTTTTAGCATATGTTTGGAATTCAGATATATCCAAAATCCAAACAGTAATTGGGACTAACTTCCTTTCTCTCAAGTTCATCAGATAATAATTACATTAACTTTAAGTTTGGCACCTATGTATTTCCTAGAGAATCTAAAATCCAAATTTACACTGGTTTCTCTCCATTAAGCTAGAAGACCACATGGAGATGAAGAAAACATTCAAGTTATGAAGCTAACATCTGCATTAGCATATCTTGTGGGGCCAAATTACTAAGTAATCGAATGCAGTTTTGAATAAACAGTAATAAAAGAACAAAATTTTCATCGTTTAGTAAGCAAATTACATTTTCAACTTTGTCTTGCTGCACAGGGCCTCGGCACTCATAATCAAACACACTTGTTTTCTTGGCATATCATTTCACAACACTTGGCACAGTAACTTTCAACCATATTGCAAACATAATAAGTAAACCTGCACTAGGTGCTCAAGGAAGAATTCTCAAAAGCTACGACAAACCACTAAAAACTTAAAAAGAGTAACATTTATGCACAACCAAACTCATATCATAATGTCACTCACAAAGAAGGAACATCCAAGCACACCATCACAAGAACAACAACAACAACAACTCTAGCAAGGAAATAGTGATTATTACCATAATGAGTACTGGTGCCACTGCCGCTGACTGAGCTATCAACCTTGGATCTTGAAGAAATGCAGCTCCCAATGAACCTCAGCCTAACCCAACACCCAGCCTCAGCCCCTTCCACCTCCTCATCCCCCTGTTTCTTCTTCTTCCTCCCCTTTGATTTACACACATCCCAAGACTCCACCACCTTACCATTCTGAGCACCCAGCCCCATCCCTAGAGAACCACAGTACCAAACCCAGATATCATCAATTCCAAACACCACCACCCCAGATGGCAAATTCCCAAATAAAACCTAAAAACCACAACTTTACAGCCCAACAACCCTTAAAACCGAGTAACTCACAAAACCCAGAAATTAAAACTGAAAAGGGGAAAAGTAACAGATCACATTAAGTAGATGAAAATAAGAAAAATAATAAAAAAATAAAAGAAAAAGAAAAAGGGGGTAAAAGGCTTGAAGGGTAGATGGATTGGGAAGTGAGTAAGGGTAGGGATAGGGGGCAGAAAGAACAGAGGGAGCAGCACCTGAGCTGAAACTCAGTAATCTCCGCTCAAAGATATGGGGTCCTCCTCTGCAAGACTGCAACACTAACACAACACTGCTAATTTTTTTAGTTTAATTTAATATATTATATGTAATTTGAATTTTTAAATTTAAAAAATGTGTGTTTTTAATTTTTATACCAATTAAAGGTCGTCAAAGTTTGTATATTTTCACACCAATAAATTTATTTTCTTAAACTTTATTTGGATAATACTTTTCTTTTTTTATCATGTTATTTATCGACTATTTTAAACAGGGTTTTTTTAATTTCTTTTTTATCCACAAAATATAATACCCAAAGTTTTTGTCCAAAAAATCGAAACTCATTTATTTCTGGAACTACAAATGTTTGAAATATTCAGATAATGCTAATATTGTTCTTGCAGTTACGAACTTGCGATACAATACTCGGAATTCACTGTCTCGTTATTTGGTTGCTATTATTGTTGGATGATGAGAGAGTGATTTGGGTATATTCTAATTGAATTTTATTTAATGGTTATTAAAAATTTTTGTTCAGAAAACGAAAGGGAAAAGGGATATTTTTTTTTTTTTTCTATCGAAGACTAGAAAAGAGAGTTGCTTGTAGCTGCCCGAAGAAGACGGGAAGCAGTTTGAGCTGCCCGAAGGAGTGGGACCCATGGTGATGCTGACGTGGCTGCCCTCGGTCGGCGTAGCAAAAACCAAGCCGTCGCGTCAGCTTCATCAGTAGCATTAGACATGTGTAGTATAAAATAATACAACATTGTTACACCTATACTCAATCAAACAAAATTATGTAGGATAATTTTATTATTTTTAATAAACTATCTTAAAATTATATTAACGATAATGTTTTATTAATTAATAATATAAAAAAGTATACTAACCATACATATTATTAAACTCATATTTATAACAAATAAAACTATTAAAACTCACATATTAGTATGTTTAGCAGTTTAATATAAAGGATAAATTTTATTTTATATAATAAAATAGATTATATACTCATAGTATAAAATAGATTACTCATTAAAAGTGTAAAATAGTTTATATTATCATTTAAAGTCTAATAAAAATATTATAATTCAATCACAACTTATTATATATAATAAATTTATTAATTTTTATAATAAATATTTTAAAAGTCATCTTAATACTAATGTTTCATTGACTCATAGTAAAATTATTTCAAATACTTGCATGATCATTAAATTAAAATTCATAATAAAAATAAATATTTTCATGTTTTAAATTATATTATAATGAAAATTTATAATAAATAACTATGTTTTACATATAAATATAAATTATATTTAAATATTATAATAAGTAATTTATATTGTAATAAAAATTTATTTTAAATTATTGATAAACCCTTAGCATATAATTACTTAGAATTAATATATAAACAACACTTGAATATATATATACAAAATATATAAATGTAAAATTTAAAACAACTAAAGATGTAAAATAACTGCACAAGTATATAAACTATGTATAGTAATCTAATACTCAAAATTAATCTCTAGTTATCGATTAAGCAACTCTATCAAAATCAGCTACATTAGAGTACCATCAACAAATCAGTTTTGCCATCACCAGCATAGCCACACAAAATGTGATACCCTCTATCCTGTATACATAACACATAAATAATAAAATCTGAATAACTTAATCCTTCATAATTAAATACCAAACATGTTTAGATAAAAAGTATCATATCCATAACTTGAATAAAATAACAATCAGCGAAAATTATAAAAGAAATAAAACTAAGTTTTCAAAATAAATCAATAGAAACAACATCTTAATTTAATCTTATCTATATCTTAATGTCACATGTTCTATCAGAGCAAAGTCCAGCACTAAAGCCTAAGTTTCATCACTAACATCATCAACCTCATACTGATGATCACTTGCATAACAACCAAAGGAAAAGGAAGTGATAAATATTTCACTCTAGTCACACAAAACTACGTTCTACCTCCAATTAACCCTATCATACTCCCATGAAAACATGTTTATTGTAGTCCAACTACCAAGAAACATATAAGGATAAGTTAGAATTTAAATGAATCGACATATAACAAATATAGATGAAATACAACTATACTATCAACAACAACATGTAAATCACCCAATATGCACCTCATGGTTCGCATCATACAATACTCAATGTGGCATCAACAAGTTTGAAAAGCAAACAAATTAAGCTTACACCATAACCATGTCATACAACCATTTAATCACTAAAACATATGAACAACACCAAGTAATGCCACATCATATGTCTACATCTCAACTAATTTGTTGACAAGCACTCACTTACGAAGATCTTCCACTCTAGAAATAGCAAACTATGTGACTTGACCCTATTGAACAAACTGATCTTTTCCACGATGTACATACTTATTAGATCAACAACTAATTGGAATATCAATCCCTACACATGATTTCTCGGATGTCGCCACTTAAACTAGGAAAGTTCAGTATCATCACCAACTATAACATAGCTTGGGTGTGAACCTATCATGACATTGACATACATTAACCAAGTCCTATGAAATTAATCCACTAAGTATCCTCACGATACCATGCACCTCTATGTAATCAGTTAAAGGTTGTAGCCTTCAACTTCATACCTTACTTCAACATTGATTAAGGATTTAGAGGAAACTGGCCTCCTAGAGCACCACACCAATATCCACACTATGGGATATCCAACATTCAAAAATACTATTTCTCTAGTCTTAAGTCAATCAACATGCTTTAATGCCTATAACACTTTCAACATCAACACCTCAACAAGTAAACAAATCATGCTTAAATGCCTTACAACATTATCAAAATTACATCTCAATAATATACATCTATATGCATTACCCTAGGCCAATAGATATAGATCTAACAACATAAAGTAACTTGCGCTTAGCACCATTAAGGTAAGGGACTCTCTACCTCACCATGCTCAGCACCATACAACCCAAGCCCGATGTGGATTAAGCAAAAATCCCTAGGTCCTCACATCTAGCATACCAAAGTTCCACGCTCAACTCCAAACCAGGTAGAGACAATTCTCTTTCTTTACGCCCGACACCAATTTAGGTAAAGTCAATTTTGTCACCTCATGACTGACACTATTTAATCCAAGCTTAGTGTGACCAAATCAAATGTTGTTCTCTTTCCTTACATTCGATGCCACTAATCCTATGTCCAACATAAGCAAGATAAAGGTCATATGATGAGAAGTATAAGCAAGGCTTAACCATGACATGATATGATAAGACGTGTGATATGTGAATTAATTAGATCATGTGAAATGTTATGCATAAAGTATGTTTTGACATGTATCATGTGCATAAAATTGCTTTTAAGGGTATGATATGAAATACACTGCCAAGGAAGATTCTCTAGTGTAAAAGTTTGAGGATTAGTCCTTGGAGATAACTTGGTTTGAAAGTTTCAATCTCGCTCATTGTGTACATGTGATGTATTTTGCGCAACTTAACTATCCTAATCAAACCCTGATAGTATATCCTATTGGTGAAAGTATGTAGAGGGTATGACTCGACATGTATTCTTAGGTTACTCTACGTGTATTACTAGTGGCAATGCACAAGTGTGATGAGTATTTTTTTTACTAGTGCTAAATACATGATAATATGTAATTCATGTATATTACATATGCATCTTAATGTTATGTGTTATTTAATTATTATGTCATGACTGAGTGAAATGTGTAATTGTTATCAATCTATTCATGTTGGATATATATGTATGTCTTATTTGTATTTGGCTATCTAGCTACATTCTATGTCGTGAGCTAGAGTATGAGATTTCTCGCTCCCCTTGTTTGGTAATGTTCTTTTGGTATGTTGTTGCAAATGATTTTCAGCATAACATTGAAGATGTTGGTGACGAGACTTAATCTTCATAGATGAGTTATGAGCTGATAGAATATGATATCAAGACTTAGTTAGGATTTACTTTCTTTTGCTATACTTTAGGACAATTGTTACTTTAATGCATTAGATTCTCATCGGATTTCAATTAGCTTTTGTTTAAGTTAAAATATGATACCTTCTAAGTTGAACATTGGAGATTTATTTGTGACAAAGTTTTCTATTTATTTTTATTTATTTGTGTATTATTATGGTATATGGGGTACATAGTATCATATTTAGTGGTATCAAAGCCTGATTGATTCAAAACAAATTGTGTTCTATGTTGTGACTGTGTGTTTTGTGTGCACTCTGATATGTGATTAGTTATGTGTTGTGATATGTTTATTTGCTTTGACTCCTTTGTTAGTTTGCTTGTTTGGATACCCATGCTTATGTAAGGAGTAGTTGTTATGGGTTTCTAGCTCCAACGAGAGCTCCACATGACTCAACTCTCTTGATTCACAATTCTACTAACCTGAATCAAGAAAGACAACCAAAAATCTAGGCTCCAGGGAAGAATCACCCTCTCAAGAGAATGTTCGTAGAAGAAGAGAACTCACAAACCTAGAGCGTTGCTCTCTAGTTTATCTCTTTAAGATTTTGAAGAATTGAACTTATGAGACTCAATTCTTAACATGAACCTTATATACTTCCCCATTCCTCTCCCCTACCTGGTTAAGGTGAAACTAAACCTCTATCTGGAGAAACTCTCCAAAATACCTAAAGATTTCTTAAGAGTTCCTTAACTCTCATAGTCCATCAACCACACCTCAAAACACTACAACAATATAACTATTGTTGGGATTCATCCCAAGTCCCACATCTGTAAAATGAAGGAACATTGGCTAGTTTATAAGGGTGTCCACCATATCATATAGTATGAGGCCTTTTGGGAAGGAGCCCAAAAATAAAACCGTGCGGGCCTAGCCCAAAGTGGACAATATCATACTATGGTGGAGTAACAGGTGGACTATCGGGCCCTACAAGTGGTATCAGAGCCAACGATTCGGCTGGGTTTGATGCGGGAAGACCCTCAGTGTTGTGCCTCGCGATGGAGAGGAGATCCGAACTTGGTGCCTTGTGTCGAAAGTCTTCTTGATATTGTGGTGTTCACGTCGAAAGTCTTCCTGATATTGT